CACCAGAAATATCCTTAACCAGTTTTGGACTGGCTGGTGTTTCTTGCGTAGAGCGCCTTTTGACAAATAATTATCATGGCCGGCGATTTTTTTTTTTGTATGACGGGTCACATCGGACTAAGGTCAAATTTAGTCGCTAAAAGGGGATGAGCAAAAGTGGACGAGTGTTGCATTTTTGTGCATAAGGTTTCGCATTAAAAAAACTAAGCCAAAATAAGCTAAACAAAAAAAGAATCATAAGAATACCTATATGACCTGAAACTAACTTCTGTTTTGTATGATCATGATTAGGTGTAAGACCCCGGTCCAGCCTGGTTCAACCCGGTCTAACGGGTGCTGGAAATGAGGCCGCTTTCTGGTCCCGGCGTTTTATTCTCCGGGCGGGTTAAAGGGACTGTCCCACCTTCAAAAAATTGCTTTGATATACTGTTCTTGTGTTGCAAGACATATATTAGGGGCCCCTTTACACGAAATTGGCAAACATTCGGCCCATAGTTGGCTAATTGTTTAAAAATTCCAATTTAAAGCTTTTGGATCGATTACGTCATATGATTGTTTTTTTTATCGGGCAAAGTTTTTTTCCTAGCTGCCAAATCGGTGGCACAAAGTTTTGTTACGCTTCTGCCGCGAATAGTACAAACATTGCGCATGAAATCAAATATCAGGAAAATTGGAAAATTGAAGCTTGAACTTTGTCAAGAAGGTCGCAAACTTTAAAGAATATCAACAAGGCCTTATTTATCATTTTTAAAAGATTATAGAATGCTCCTAAATAAGCAAAAGCAAGATATTTGATGTTTAGATTATTGATGCTGCCCACAATGTCTTGGGCACATGGATGATGGATGATGGAAGTGAGCTCAACTTCAATAATCAGACCTAAGAATCACAATGGATATAGCCATGAGCCAGACTGCAAAGTATGGCAATTTTGTCTAGATTTTGTCAGTGTGGACTCCTTTGCCTGGTGCGGATTTAGGTGTGGTGCGGTGCGGATTTGGTTTAGTGTGGTGCAGATTTAGTGTGGCGGGGTGCGAATTTGGCTTGCTGTGGTGCAGATGTCATTGTGTAGCATTGTGGGGATTTGAGGTCAGTGCAGATTTTGACTGGCCATTTTGGGGTTTGGTGCATTTTTTTGTGTTCTCTCAGCCCCCTTTGGTGTGAATTTTCGGGCTCTGTGTGAAGGGTTTGTGTCAATTTTGAACTTGGGAGTTGGGCCTGTGCTCCTTGGCGACCTGCGAGCCATACTCTGCAGTACTGGCCTGGGCCCATGACCAAAGTAATTAAATATATTCTGTTCAACACTGTAAAAACCCATGTCAAAAACCAGCACCCTGTACCTGCTTATTTTAAGCAGGCTAACTGGTTGCTAAATTTTAGCACCCTTTTCGAAAAATAGCTCCCAGTGCCGGCTTATTTTAAGCACCCTAAATGGTTGCAGCCATTTAGGGTGCTTAAAATAAGCCGGCACAGGGAGCTATTTTTCAAAAAGGGTGCTGAAATTTAGTACCCATTTAACCTGCTTAAAATAAGCAGGTATAGGGTGCTGGTTTTTGACATGGGTGCTAAACTTTTTTTTACAGTGAAGATTCAATATAATAAGTCTGCAAAACACATTCCAGCAATTGTAATTGAATCAGAATGAATTGTAGTGACCTGCATTTGTATTTTTGTTGTGTCTGTGAAAAATAATAAATATACCTACCTATTGGAAAAATCGTGGCCTTTCAGCACATTTGGCAGAGTTGTGTGACTCTGATTTAGTGGCTCATGTGGAACGCAACGAGCTGCGGAACAAGCTTGAATAGCATTTTGCCTCAGGGCTATCTGCCAGAAACATTTCATCTGCATAAATTTGCCTACAGGCAACTCTGACAAATTTGTGGATTAACTGGGGACCTTGTAAGCATGCATATTAAATTCTAGCCCACCAGCTCAGCCCTATTCTCAGTTTCAGCATTCAGCATGATAACAGTTCTGATCAAGTTCTGATTGTCACCACTGAGACACCAATGGAGTCCTCTGAAATTTTGCCTTTTTATTTAATTATTTGTAAGAGTTTCAGCTACATTTAGACCAAACGTTTCACTCTCAAAGATCTGCGACCTACCCCACTCGTCCAGTAGGATGCCTGGCGCGCTAACAGACCAGCAGTGAGCTGCCAGCCGGCACGCAGGGCAGCAGCAGGCGGCGGCAGCAACGGCAACTAGTGAACATGTCTTGGACTGCAGCCACGACATGATCTAGGCTAGTGTAGCGGGGCTCAGCTGCAAGATAATTATTTGTTTATTTGTTGGTTGCGAGGCTGGTCAGTCACTGGGGCATATAGGCTGCTACACTGTACGGTGATGGGTCATTGGGTTATGGGCATTCAAGGAGGATAATTTAATCAGGTTGACTGCCCGAGGCTCTCTCTCAACCCTCACTCGGGTCAGTTTATATTAATGATTAACCCTACTTTGGTGACGCGGCATCTCCCTACCACTGCACAGAGGAGTGCCTCCCACTGGATCTAACCACAATCACTCGCTCATTCATTCATCCTTCATACATTCGACAATCCTTACTTACCTATGAATATACCAGGTCACGACTCTGGTCCCTCCCTCTTTACCTAACATCCCCCAATGGTGTGCAGCGGATAGTTGAATGCTGCGTACTTTTTTTTTCTACAACCAGGTGTGGCCACACTATGTCTATTCATATCCATACCATTATATATATAGATATGTATACTTCCACCCTCGATGAACTCATCTGGCACTTTTTACTAAAACAGGAATTATGAAGATATTCCCTCCCTTCCCATTTCACTTAACTTTCCCTTTGCGGCAGTTTCCATTAATTTCGACGACTGTAAAGCGCGCCCCGGGTGAAACGCTTGTAACATCGCTGATTCCATTAGTCTCTCCCGTCTCCGCCCATGGTGTTCCCCGCGCCCTCATGGCGTTCCCCGCGCCCTCATGGCGTTCCCTGCGCCCTCATGGCGTTCCCCGCGCCCTCATGGCGTTCCCCGCGCCCTCATGGCGTTCCCTGTGCCCTCGTGGCGTTCCCCGCGCCCTCGTGGCGTTCCCCGCGCCCTCATGGCGTTCCCCTTATAACCCAGCCGTTTTAACCTACCGTTCCGGAACAAACCAATCGCTAAAATTTAGCACCTCTAAATCACCAACGTTAAACGTCCCCTACCACTGATGCTTTAACCAATAATCCTATTTGTACGTTTAAAGTGAGTTTAGGCCCGAATGCGATCAATCATAATTGCACATTCAATCGATCAACCCAGACAATAACCCGTCCCTGTTTCCCATCACTCGTAAGTGTAGATAACCGTGTCGGTGAACACAACGTACACGGGGGTACGACACGCATAGACTGGCCTCGCAGCCCCGAATTATTCCCTTATATAGTACCTCTTAATTCGATACGATTTATCTTAATTCCTTTCCTCGAGTTTTACCGATAGGCATTTTGTAGTGCGATTAAAGACAGTGTTCTAATTTCGACAAACCATGTAACTCTGACAAAACATTAACTCAACCCATTTGTAAAAAAAGAAACATTGTCCGACTTAAACAATTGGAAGTTGTAATCGATGCCTGACCATAATACAATCATCGGTAATGTTTATGTCGATCCGGGTATAATTGTTAATGACTCGGCGGTCCGCGTAATGATAGCCGCTCTCAGTGGACCACAGGTCACCTCTGACTGCGGGTTCGGCCCAGCCATTGTCATCCCGCACCCCAGCGTGGTGCGAGCAGCGAGGGTCACCCGCCGATCCCCTGATCATTAGCGCGGCCGAGCCCGTCCGGCCCGGGCGTCGCCGCGCCCGCGGGTTGGGGGCCCGTCCTCCCCACGCGTCCCGAGACAGCACCTCCTCCGTGACGTCATACATATACGCAGCAGACCCAACGACACAATCTCGGATTATCAACTGACGACATGAAATGCGTGTTGGGGGCCATGAATGAGAGAGAGAGAGAGAGAGAGAGAGAGAGAGAGAGAGAGAGAGAGAGAGAGAGAGAGAGAGAGAGAGAGAGGGAGAGAGGGAGAGAGAGAGAGAGGGGGAGAGAGAGAGAGAGAGAGAGAGCGAGAGAGAGAGAGAAAGAGGGAGAAAAGTGAGAGAGAGAGAGAGAGAGAGAGAGAGAGAGAGAGAGAGAGAGAGAGAGAGAGAGAGAGAGAGAAAGAGAGAGAGAAAGAGAGAGAGAGAGAGAGAGAAAGTGAGAGGGAGAGAGGGAGAAGGGAGAGAGAGAGAAGAGAGAGAGAGAGAGAGAAGAGAGAGAAGAGAGAAAGACATACATACAGACAGACAGACAGACCGCCCTACTGACAGACCGACGTACCATCAAACCAACAGACCATCAGACCGTGAACGGCAAACTGACGGACTGACAGGCCGACAAGCCGACAGAGCGACTGGCCGACACTCAGAGACTGCATTAACGATCACTCGGAGAAGACTGATAGGAAAGGTGGAATGTCGATAGATCACATTCTTACACGCGTCGCATCCATGCTCCGTCTTCAGTCGGTGCTCTACCACCGCGTCGAGTGATCGTGTGCCGCCGTCGGACCTAGCGCCCCATCCCAGTTTCCCTGTGAACCCGCGCTGGACGGCCAGTGGCACGCGTTAATGGGGATGTTCGCGCTAAGAGTTCCGAAAAGTCTCGCCAGGTGGCAGCACGGTATGCTTTGGACACAACGCGCCGGCCGGGCCGGGGAATCATGGGATAACACTGCGGGCGGCGACGGCGGCCGACGCGCCGCGAACGGAAACTGCGTTTCATGTCTTTTTCAGGTTCATCATTTTGCTAAAATGAGTAGCTACAGTTGATTTCGATATTAGGAAGATAATGACGCGTGTGAAAGGCAAACTACTACATCGTCATTGAGCGGAAGGAAAGGGAGCTGATCGAATGGTCACCAAAAGCTACGGAGTACGAAAGATACGAATTACGATGTTATCACATATTTTTACACAGTTGAAATTAAAAACCTTATTACATTCAGACATATATTCACACGCATGAAACAATCGATTTACAGCACACATTCCATGACAAGAACGCATACCTACGGTCTTAAGTTGACCTCTAGCGCTCGTCACTGTCAGATAAGTCAATCACATCCCTGTAGTTTGTACAGATTATTGACTTAACCCTTCATCCGGCATGCGTTCATTCTGTAATGATGGGCAACGAATCACCGGCGATTTCTGCGTGGCTCTATATGACATCCTCGTCCGTTCCCCAGGTCAACTGGTTCGGTGACTTTCAAATTATAGCAGGCCCTTCCTCGGTCAGGCTTGATGGATCCACCGTCACTTTGCGCGGTACTTTTAAGGCTGACTGTACCTTCTACCAACACAACTGACTGATTACAATCTGATGCGAAAGGGACAATATCTCGTCGGTCTATCAGTCAAAGTTTAATATTCAGCGACACAAGTGTGAAGGCTGCCTGGAAAACTTGCAACGAACTAAGTAAACTAAGCTTGGCTTGGCTTGTAATGGGCACAAACTTGTAATAAAGAGGTACTTAATTAACAAATCCACAATGTTCTGTTCAGGCAAGTATCCTTCACATATGAAGCATTGCTATGACGACAGCTCTTCTAGAGCTGATTGATTGTGGCAAAACTCCACTGCTTGACTACACAGAGTACCAACTGTTTGCTCCTCTAAACTTTCACCAAAGGAAGTGTTGCTGATGTCATTTGTAGCAGCAGTGACACTGGTAGGTAACTTCAAATCACAGGATCTGGTAGCATCCATGCTCTTGAATCTGGATCTTATCAATGCAGCATTGCACCTGTGGATAAATGAAAAATGGCATAAGACAGTAGGGAAAGATCTTGGCAAGTCATAATGAGATACATATGTTTAACATGCATGGATAAAAGGACATTATATACTGAAGCAATTAGCAAAACATTGCAGTTTAAACACAGTTGTAATCTGATATGATGAACTGGATACAGGTAAAAATTTATTTTTAAAAACAACAAAAAACTTACCCGTATTTAGTTGCTAAAAAAGCTGAGTGAATATTCTAAAATATTGTTTACTTCAGTGTGAATCAAAACTTAGAGTAAACAATTATTTACCTGATAAAATTAAGATATTATATCAATAATGAGTAGCTTTAGGTGGTGATGAGTTAAAAAAAAAAACATTTTGCAAGAAAGGCTATCAGTTACTTCTGGATGATATACTGCAGTGCACAAGCTGTTCACCAACTCCTACCTGGTCCTTCAGTGGGATCCCTCTGTATGCACCTCAGATCTTCATCCACAGGGCTGGTTCCTTCATACGCAGGTCCTCTGCCTTCCTTGATTCCTCGGACTCCATCCTGACAACTCCGCACCAGAAGCATGATTGCACTGGGCACCTGGAACACCATGTGGGATGATCAATACTTGCAACAATTCATAAATAGTAGGTAGCTTAGTGAATAGTGTTCTATTACATATACCTCCTGGTTACTGGTGTCAAAATAGGTCCTATTTGTCTGTTTCCATCATAACCTTTATCTGCATGCAATATCTTTGGTACCAGACAAAAGAACACTGCTAAAATGCTTGCAATGAATCTTATAAAAATGCATTGAATTTATATAATCATTCTCAGCAGCATGTATCATCTTTTAATGCCTTTCTCAAAGGGCAGGTCAACTTCCTATATTGATATGCCCATAAACTTACACAGGTGAATTACCTCATATGGGCAATACAAGATCCTGCTATGAGTTAAGTTAGACTATTTTATACTCTTAATTATGCTCGCCATAAAAAAAATGTCGGGAAACGTGTTACATCGATGGAATTACCGTTTGGAGTCGGTCTATCTTCGGCTTCTCGCCTCTCTTCGGCTACGTCAATTGAAGCCTTTCTAAGTCTCCTGTCCTTTGTAAACTTGCCTTTCCATGTTTGTGACACTTGCTGAATATAAATTCACAACCCATCTGAGCAAAATTCAAATCAATTGCTATCAAATTCACCGAAATTCAGTCCCTCGGACCGACACCGCACCGACTCCACACAGTGTAAAACACAGTGGCGCATTCGCCGCCACAGTTTCTGTGTCCAAAGAAGGCAGTGCTGCCACCTGGTGAGGAAATAAGCCGAACATCCCCATTGCTCTAGCCGCCGCAGGACCGGCGGCCGGGACCGATCAGGCACCCAAAGATGGCCGCTTCTCTCGACCGGCGCCGGCCCCCCACCGCCGGCGTCACCGTCTGACCAGCCGCCAGGTAACCCCTCCCCACGAGCGGCGGGACACCCCCTCCTTCACACACCTTCCTGGGGATTAGCCGGGTCGGCCACCGCAGCCGGCTGATGGGTCCGGACGGCGCGGGCAGGGACATTTAAATCGTCCATAAACGGTATTGATATCGTCGTTAATTGTCGGAAATAATGAGCGGCGTTCGGGCAAATTTTAAAATTAAGCTTAGCAAAATCGTTCTTGCCACACTCGATCAGAATCGTGAAATCAACTGATGATTATGGGGTATATTGCCGGAAATACAAACCAGGTAACGTTAACTGTTAGGTAGAGCATGTTAATTTCACAGGTAGGTCACGTCTCGATTAAATGACAGTGGAGCGAAAACAAAAATGCCGGCCAATATAATATATTTTAAATCATAACTGAGTCGTCAAGATACTAATCTCATCTCGGGCTTACGTTAATTTACATCAAATTTGACTGGCTTTTACTTTAGCTCGGGCATTCCAACCCGCCGGAAATGACAATTTCGGAAATGAAAATTTATTTGGTCGTTAATGACTTACATGGTTTTGTTTCGCATATTTACCAACCCTGAAACCTAGAAGACACTCGTCGTTCAGCACTGAGTTACGCTACATACTGAATGAAGCTACGCATGGATTTCTGGGGCTAAAACGCTCAAAACTTATCGTTACGCTAATTCGCAGATAGTGAGAAATAAACAACGTTTACCGGACATTGAAGCGATCGAGTATATACTGCAACGTACGTCGATTTGCACTGCATCAAAATTAATTGAATCCCATCGGGCTAAATAAAAAAATCTCGTGATAAATGCTAAATCGTGCTGAATAATTAAATAATAAATCCGGCCACATGACTACGAAAAACCTGACAGTACTACTGACGCAAATGCCTGTTTACTTCGACGGTCTCGAATCAGAGCTCTATCAAACAACAACCACGAGGACAACAACAACCCAGTATGATGTAGTGTGACCTCCCACCGGTGCCTGTGTTCCAAAAAAAAAAACATGCCGACGTGTGAACGGTGTCAGAAACGGTGTTCTGCTCGGCCCTCCCATTCTCTCCGAAGTCCGAATTCTCTCATTCTCTCCTTCAGCACTTTCATCTCGTCCCGTAATCCATTCATTTTTCCCTCCCTAATATCCCCAACAAATATAAGTACTTTCCCAAGATATATTCAGTCAAAACGAAGAAAGAGAAACTAGCAGTGAAACGACAGAGTTTTCAGAGATATGCAAAAACTGGACTTAAACTATAGCCATAAAACATAGTGAACTGAGCCGATCTCCAAAACAGAGCGCCAGATTACCGATGTCAACTTTAAACTAAATAGCTACTACATAAATGCCGTCTTTTGAGCCTGCAACTGAATATTGGACAACCGGCTGGAGTAACCGAGACGAACGTAGCTGAGCATCAGATGCATTTTGAAGAAAGTACTACCGCCGTTCGCGTAATGAAGGCCAAAATTCGTCCCAATGGCCCGTCACTCTGATGCGTCCGGGCGCTCACATTTACACTCACGCACGCACACATTCAAGACCAGTCCTACCCCGCTTTAGACAAGATTGCCAATTTAAGTCTGTTAAGTGAAAAAATGAAACATATCCCAACCACCCCTTTTTGATACCCTACAGCAAGGCGCAATGCCGTTAACTCATTCAACAATCACACGCTCACACATACGTACATAACATGTCCCAGCCACCTCCATTTTTGATATCCAGATCAAGGCACAATGCCACCCAATCATACAACAAGTTCACACGCTCACGCATACGTACAGACCCCCCCCCCCAAACGGGCCTAAATAAAATTACATCCCCGGGGCGAGAGAAAAGCCGGGGCAGCAGGCGGGGCACATTGGGGAAGGATTATGATAGGAAAGCAGCTTCATGACCTCCAGTGCCGACCTACCGCTTAACTGTTGGCTGTGGACGACAGGGCTGACGGCCGGCTGGTAGCAGATTTATCGGCGGACGGGCGGCACAGCGACGACGGACGGGTGGCAGAGTTGGCGGCAGCCCGCGGAGCGGTGGTGGCGGGCGGCAGAACGGCGGAGCGGCGCAGAGTCCTCCAGTGGCAGGCAGTCCTCCATCCTCCTCCTCCAGAACTATCACCGCCGACTCCTCCTCTCAAACTCTCCTCTCCGCTCGAACTCACTCCCTCCATCGCCTGTCCTTCTCCATCCCGCCGCTACAAACTGACTGTCTCGCCCACCTCTGAACTCCACTTCCCAGCTCTCCAACTCCAACTGAACTGCCGCCGGTCAGCGTCCCCAACGCCTCCGACTCTCCAACTCAACTCTCCTCAAAATCCTCAAAGTTTTGCTGGAGCTCCATCTGCCTCGGGCTGTCTCTGGATTTGCCGTCTTCGCTCCGCCTCCTTCTTCCGAGTTCTGCTGCTCTCTGAATTTCCAGTAAGGGCCAATTTTCCATGTCTTCTCTCTGTCTAACCAGTCTTCTGTATTTTCTGCTGAGTCTGGTTGCCGAAAGGGTGAGATTCCTATTAAATTTAACGCTATGTTGGGCCGAAACGTATGCGTTTTCCCGCTGTGCAGCCTCCGGCGTGCCGTTTCCATGGTGACTGCTATCCTCCCTGGGTGCTCCTCCTCCCTTCAAATATTCTGGCGCCGATAGGTGAATTTGAATCTTCTGCCCCTGGCGATGCCGGCAGATTTGCCACGCCGGCCAGGTTTGCCAGCGTGGGAAGATGGGCCCGGGAATGCGGATGTGCCGTGCCATACTGGAATTTGGATGTTGTTACTCTGTCGGCTGTCCCAGTTTCCCGATGCTGATTGTCGGCGCCAGTCTCGGCACATCCTGGAAATGTGCTATTTCGAGCCGTGTTTTGAAGAAATTGCCTTTGAAGTGTGATACCGGTGGTCAATTTGGTCCCGGGCGCCCCGGCCTCCCGCTGCCGCAGCGGCGCTGTCGTGTCCTGTTTCCCAGGCTGACGGTGTCCGTTCGCCGCGCGTAGGAGGCTGCGTGCCTTTGTGTTCGTCCGTCCCCCCCCCCCCTTGACCGGGGTTGGGACCCATTGCTGGACCCTTCCACGGTCAGCGGCGGTGAGACGGCTCTGTAAGGGCCGCAGGATAATAGCATTTGGCGGCGCGGTCTCGGATCCGTGTTTGTCCTGCCGTCCGGTGTCGGCCAGATGGTCGGCGGGTCAGCGGTGTCTGGTCGCCGGCGCGCTGCTGTTATGAAGGATGAATTTGGGAACGGGTTGATTTAGGGAGGGAAAATGAAACGCACCAGCGTTACACTAGCATCTATTCAATTTGTCCATGTACAAGTCCCACAGCTCCTGCCCGAGGTCGCGCAAGCCAGGGAACTGACCACCTCCAGCCCAGGCGTGGTTCACTGACTAAAGACATTTCAACTGACCAGTCAGAGTTCATGTTTTGTAACTTTTCCCGTCCAGCGTTTAGCCTTTCGAGACCCACTCAGGGTCGCGGTTGTTTTCGCCGCGCGCCCCAGTCGAGATGCAAAGTTAATAGTCACACGAAGCTTTTTTACGGCCAGCCAAACCAGCCTAATCTGGAGTCACTGTTAAATGTATGCAATTAAATGGAAGAAAAAGGTTTTGTAGAATCGATTAGTTTCGAAGTCGTATATTAAGGGGCCTCAAATAAAGTTCGTGTGACTATCAACTTTGCATCTCGAATGGGCCGAGCGGCGAAAACAACCGCGGCTCTGAGAGGGTCCCGAAAGGCTAAGCGCTGGACGGGGCTAACCCACCCGGAGAATAAAACGCCGGGACCAAAAAGCGGCCTCATTTTCAGCACCTGGTTCGGCTCCCTCATTTACCTTCGGGCTTGGCCTCGTGACATTCACAGACGTCAGACATTCAACAAACAATTTTGGCGGAAACGCTATCCAGCAAGCTGCGCAGGGGCGTAGGGTGACGGGTGTTCGTAGCGTTGGGGCTAGGTGGTCTGTGTGCCGAGTGCGATGTCGTGGGTTCGAGCCCCACACGGCTCTGGTTTTATCTAGACACTAGCCAAAACCTTTCCTTTTACTGCAATACTGACAAGCAAGGTGATTTATCATTCCCGATATCCTCTTAACCCGCGCCCCATAGGGGGGGGGCGAAACGGCCCCCCCCTGTCCTTTTCGGTCGATATCTCCTAAACGGCTGGAGATATCGCCACCAAACTTTCAGGACCCCTCCGGGCATCAATTTTACACATTGTGACCAAAAATTTTTCCAGAGTCTGTGATAGGTTGGCCACAAATGACGTCAGAGTGACGTCATGTTCTGTCATTTTCGACCGAAAAAAGACCTTCGCGAGAAGACCTGTCAGGCCTACAGCTTTGAAGATAAAGAAAAATGATCAAGACATAAAACGTGTAGAATTGACAGGGCTACAAAACTGCTATCTCGGATTTTTGAAATTTTTGAGTTTTGATCCCCAAAAATCAAAAAAGCATTTTTTTTTATATATTAGCCAAAAAATCCAAAACGTTTTTTGAGTTACGAGAAAACCGGAATATATGTGATAGTACCTACCATCTTCTATCTACATACCAAATTTCAGATCGATACCTCGTTTTTTGGCCAAGTTATAGCGAAAAAACTGTTCAAAAATGATGACGTCAAATTTTCAAACTCAATTTGTGGCAATTCTAGAACTCGTAGAGCAAAACAAAGACCACCATTAGACTCCCCGTGACGAGCTGCATCGAATCGATACCCATTTTATGCAAAAATATCAACTTTGAAATTTGACCTAATTTGACCTGACCTTGACCTGACCTTCACCAAAACGTGACCTAGGCTGGCCCCAAAGGCTGCCTAACCCACATAATCGCATTTGTCATGTAAAATGGACCATAAAACATGTATCACACGACACATTCATATTGTGACCCCCGGTGACCTGACCTCGCTGTGACCTGACCTGGTATCAGTGACCTCAGATAGCAAAGTATGTGTTTGACGAACAATA